CTTGTTTTAATGTTCTATAATGTGCCACATAATTTTTTTTATGATGTTGCGTGCCGTCGCTCAATCGTATATGATGGTTAAGTTTTTAAAGGATAGACTTCAATAAAACACTCAATTGAAATTTTAACTGTTTATTTAGCATATAAAAATAACATTAATATAAGAAATAATGTGGCGTGAAGGTGCTTGCGACTGTACATGTAAACCACATCTGAATATTGGTCCGTTCCCAACCCCCTTATATACTTAGGTTTGGTGACGATCAAACGTGCCGCGCTGGGCAATAGTTGTTTTTAACTATAATAAATAATTTGTCTCTAATGGCTATTTATTACCTAGATGACCTTATTCGCACTTATCCCATATTTGCCACGATTTTTCCCAGTTACAATCCTACATATAGCCATGCGATTCACACATAGTAATGTACTGGTTTATCTTCTGGCTTTTAGCTAAAATTCATTTCTATTTTTATGACTGCTAATATTGTGTTAATAATAATTATTTTCTTGATATCTACCGTCACGATTTACATGGTCCCGTCCATGTCGTATAAGTCGTAATATTTATTACATACTACCTGTCTTCGTAATATGTGTTTGCTTACCCTCTGTTTAACTAATAGTTCCTTTCTATTATTATTGCGAATATTATATTACTCTCTAATATTTATAATTTATGTGGACCCGCTCGTACTGTAAGAGTCGTAAGGACTTACATTCATGTATGTCCGCAACAATATCATATATTTACGTATCATGGGTTTGTATTTCAAATTATTTATTCATTTTTTTTTACATTGATTATATTTCAACCACACAATTTGAAAGGACACTGATGTCAGTACATTACCTTGATAACGAGTGAACGGCTGGATGGTTATTTAAAACGTACCACAAATAAAAAGAAAACGAAATCAAAAATGATACTATACGACGTGTTTTTAGTAGTGCTCGGAAGACTGAACTAATAATGGCATGCAAATATGTGACGGATTAAAAATGATTTACACTAAGTTAAAAGAAAGTTTATAAGCCAAACGGTTCGACGGTTAAAAACGCCATTCATAAAATAAGATCGCGTCAATCCGTCCATGCTAACAAGTGAACATATCATTTTGTTGTCGATATCGTGAATGGTGGGGTTAATGATTATTTTAAGTTTATCTTATATATTACGGAGCATTGAATAATAATTCAAACCTATTAAGAAATCGTGATAATATTATCGAGCGTTAACGACCATTCCGCAGCGATAAGCAATGTTACAACCGAGCTCGTTTGGTGGCTAATCTAACGCGGTACGAACGCGTTGCGGAGCGTGCGATGCAACGATCAAAATTATCGAACCCGTGAAAACATTTCTGCGTTTCCAACGTGCACTGCTGTCGTCTTTCGTGCGAACGATTAAATTCGTTTGCGCTTGTCGGAAAATTAAAAAAAAACAAATCATTTCTTCCAATTAAATTTAGCGTTAGATAAAAAACTAGTAAACCCTAGTGGCATCTAATGGCTACGACTATATGAAATGATTTGGTGAAAATCCGATTTCAAAAAAAATATTATTCTAAGAGATATTAAGAAAAGTAGAATATCCGCGTGACGTCACTAGGCCTACACGACATAGTACATACGTACAACCAAATTTTAAAAATATAATGTAATAATATCATAAATAAATGTGAGTTTAGTGTGTAAAATCCGTAGAATTAGATTAGATAGTCGCTGTCGGCGGACCCGTTGTTCAATTTCCGCTTGCCATTACGCACCGTTTAACAAAAATGTCTCTTTTAAGATTTTTAATATTCGAAAAACTCAACGTCAAATTGAAATTTTGACACTTGCATCGTATTAAACACATAATACCACCCATTGATACGCAAATTAAATTTTCAAAAATGTTTACATTAGTAAATCGTGTGAAGGGAGGAACTTTTACACGTATAAAATAGGCAATTATGATGAGTAAGACCAATGACGTCACGCGGCTTTTTTCAATTGCTCATTATTAGGCTTAGGGACTTGTACCTCTAAAAAATACTCAAATATGCACAAAAAAATTGCCAAATATGCTCTAAAATATGCACCTAAAAATAACCTTAAATACGCTAAGATATACCCAAAAAAAAATTAAGTATAAAAAATATGTGGTTAAATTAAATATTTATCGAAATTATTTAATAAAATATCTATTATTGGATATCGCCTATCGGACCCCTATAAATGGTTGATAAGGGTTAATTGGATTATTTATACTGGTCCATCGACCCGGATTTGAACGAGTAATTGTAAAAAAAAAGTGCGTTTTATTTTGTTGTTGTTTTTTAAGTATAGTATATTCAGCGTATCGACATATCGTACCGAATCTAGCGTGTCGTCCGCAAATCCGGGAAAGTGCGTCTATAGTTAATTAACATCCCGTCGATTGACTTCGTTTATCGCTAGAAAATTTGTATGAGTAATACTGTTATTGCTGTGCAGAAAGTCCAAAGTATAAGGTCAGCAAACCAGCCCACCATCAGACAAAAACCGAAACGCCAAGTGTCAAGGTAAGAGAGTCACATTTCATAATTTCTTTTAGTTCCTTTTCCTATTTCATATTGTAGTACCGTCACCTGATTAGGATGGGAGAACCCGATATAAATACATTAATTGCGCGACGCGGCCAAATAAAGGCTATAGTAACTCGGTTTCAAAATTATCTGAAATCACCCGATTGCGACACAAAATAAATACCACCACGTCAGCTCAAAATAGAAGAAGCTTGGCAAAACTTCGAGTTAGTGCAAACAGCGATTGAAGAATTAGAAAATAGTATTGGCATAACAGATCATTCACAATATAGAATTGATTTTGAAAATTTATTTTTTGAGACGGTTGCGGAGGCCGAACAAAAAATTAGTTCTATTAGGGCAAACCAAAACGAAACATCATTCCGTAACTCGAATAACGGAGAGAGTATTAATTCGACATCTTCGATCATAAAATTGGCAGCGTTAAATATACCAGTATTTAATGGTAATTATAATGACTGGGTACCGTTTAAAGATATTTTTACTGCATTAATTCACATAAATAGTAATTTAACATTAATTCAAAAATTTTTTTATTTACGTTCTTCTCTTAACGGTGATGCAGCAAATTGCATAAAAAATTTTGAAACTACGGCTTTAAATTACGAACACGCCTGGAAAACGTTAACTGCGCGTTACAATAATGAAAAATTATTAATTCAATGTCATGTAAAAGATATTTGTGAGTTAAACGTAGTTAAAGATAATTCATCGGATAGTTTGCGAATGTTTTCGGATTCACTGCGTGCTCATATATCGGCACTCGAAGCGTTAAAGCAACGACCAACCGATTGGGGTCCGCTACTAATACACATAATATGTTCAAAATTAGACTCAAACACGCTCACTGAATGGGAGGTGAAATCGCCAAAAACCGAAATTCCAAAGATCGAAGATCTAATGATATTTTTAAACGATCGTGCACAGATTCTAGAAGCAGTAGAATCGTCGAAAAATTTTATAAATAATATAAATACTATATCGACATCGGAAATTAAAGACAAAGTTAATCGAAAAAATAGTCACAATAAAACTCGCACAACTTCTATGGCGTTCACAACCACCACCGAAGTAAGCTGTTTTATATGTAACTTAAAACATACTATTTACAAATGTCCCACGTTTTTGGCACTATCAATAAACGATCGTATTAAAAAGGTTAATGAAATTGAATTGTGTAAATTATGTTTACGTAAACATGATTCAAAAAAAAGGTGTTTATCCCGAAATTGTTTCAAATGCGGAAAAACACATAATACATTACTACATATTGTCCAACATAAAATTAATAATAATGCGAGATCGACAACGGAAGAAAAATCAAATCCCTCTTCAACTCAAATCGACGGAAATTCCACGATAAGCGCGCATTCGCATGACAAAAACCACGAACAGGTACTTTTATCGACAGCGATCGTACGAGCATTTGGCGAAAATAAAAGTTCATCATTATGTCGTGCTTTATTAGATTCCAGTTCACAAAGTAATTTCATTACTGAAGAATTGGTACAATGCTTAAAATTAAAAAGAACGAAAACTAATCATCAAATTAGTGGTATCGGAACAACAGTACAGCATGCCCATTCGTACGTTATCGCTCAAATGAAATCAAAATTTAACGACTATAGTTTTACCTTAAAAATATTAGTAGTGCCGAAGATTACGAACGATATACCGGCGAAACACATATATAATACAGGTCAAGTACCGCAGAACGTAAGTTTAGCTGACCCACTATTCTGGTCTCCACAGAAAGTTGATTTATTAATAGGCGCGACACATTTCTACGATTTAATGGGTGAACGTCGAATTAAACCTGCACCAAACGGTCCAATATTTCAAGAGACAAAGCTCGGATGGGTAGTATCGGGGCCTATACAAATGTACAATCATAAGGTTGAACCGTTAAGTAACAGTATCTGTCACACTGCGTTGACACATACCGACTTGACATTAGAAAATATGTTACCACGATTTTAAGCCTAGTTTATAGTACAGCAGAGTATGGGTCCCAAGTTTGGTGTAATAGCACACATGTAAGCAATATAGACACGCAGCTCAATAGCGTAATGAGAGTAATAAGCGGGACAGTTAAATCTACACCACTGCAATGGCTACCGGCACTGGCAATTAAACCACCTCACATTCGTAGGAAAGATGCACTCGTAAAAACCATTAAGAAAGCAGTAGATTACAAGAATTCACTTTTATACCAGATGATGCTTCAAACACCTAATCAACGATTAAAATCCAGAAGCCCACCTGTTGAGTACGCCAGAACACTGATAAGCTTAGGGTTTGATAGCGCCGAGGAATGGCGAAAAGAATGGGCAAGCTTTACAGCACCAAATATGAAGCTACTACGTGACCCTAATAATGGAGTTCTAGGAATGAATCTTCCTCGTTGTACCTGGTCCACGTTAAATAGACTGCGTACAGGTCATGGTCGGTGTAGTTACCTCCTAAATAAGTGGGGGTTCCAAGATAACCCAGTATGTGACTGCGGAAACGGGGAACAAACAATAAATCATATAGTAGTTGATTGCCAAGGTAGGAAATTTAACCAAGGATTTTAAGGCCTGCATGCAGTGACACCCAAAGCAATTACCTGGATTACGAACCTCGACATCTGTTTATGAACCCACATCGCAAGAACGACTCACCTTTATTATTATTTATGATTTTTGACTTATTATAGTTCTATTGTAAGTTACACTTTTATAGCTTCATATCTATATTATGTTTTGTATTGTTTTAGTTTATGTTTTAGTTTATATTTTAGTTAGAGTTTGATAGTTAAGTTGATTTGTGTTAAAAGCCATACGAAATAAATAAATAAACCACGATTTTGGCGTGTAGAAGAATTTGAAGGAGATAACACCTATACTATTGAAGAAAAGACATGCAAAAGTTTTTTTGACAAAACGGTGATAAGAGAACCAGATGGTCGATTTACCGTACATTTACCATTTCGTGAAAATTCATTACGCTTAGGCGAGTCTTACAATATCGCTAAGCGTCGTCTATTAAACCTGGAAAGTCGTTTTGCAAACAATGCAAGATTAAAAAATGAATATACACATTTTATGAATGAGTATATAAGTTTAGGACACATGGAGCGAGTACAAGACGACCCAATTAACGATAAAAAAGAAGCATATTATTTACCACATCATGCGGTTTTCAAAGAAGCAAGTACGTCGACTCGACTTCGTGTTGTTTTTGACGCTTCATGCAAGACTAGTAACGGTGTAGTTTAAACGATACATTGTTAAAAGGACCGGTTTTGCAAGACGATTTGATATATACTCGCTCGTTTCCGAACACATAATTTCGTATTGTCCGCAGATATTACGAAAATGTACAGACAGTTTTGGGTAACAGAAGCTCATAGAATATTTCAACGAATATTGTGGCGCACAAATCCACAGGAAAATATTAAAATTTTTCAACTTAACACGGTTACTTACGAAACCGTTCCCGCGTCTTTTTTGGCTACTGGATGCTTACATAAACTAGTCGATTCGCAAAATGTCGACCCTATAATAGCAGCGGCTATAAAGGGCGACTTCTATATGGATGATTTCTTAGGCGGTACTAATTCTTATGAATCAGCTGTTCAATTACGAGATGGTCTAATTAAGACAATGCAATCCGCTGGTTTAGAATTGCGAAAGTGGAATTCGAATAATGACAAGTTAATTAAAGATGTTATGTCAATAAAACAAGATAGTAACGACACGGTCCTCATTAGCGATGATAATTCGATAACAAAGGTTCTTGGATTGATTTGGAACTCAACCACTGATACGTTACAATTTAAAGTGCAACAAAATAATTTTACAATCATAGGCTGAATTACGAAACGCGAAATCTTATCGGTAATCGCATGCTTATTTGATCCATTAGGACTAGTAGGTCCCGCTATTATATGTGCCAAGTTGATGTTACAGCAGTCGTGGCGATTAAAAATACAGTGGGACGAACCGCTTCCGAGCGAAATTCAAGAACAATGGATTAACTATAGAAACTCTTTGTGTGTATTAAATAACTTAATTATACCTCGACAAATTACGTGTAAAAACGATATCGTAAATATCCAAATTCACGGATTCGCGGATGCGAGCATCAATGCGTATGGTTGTTGTTTATATTTACGATGTACAAATGCAGATGGTGTGCACACTTCAAAATTAATATGTGCAAAATCCAAGGTGGCACCATTAAAGATCATATCTTTCCCTCGATTAGAACTATGCGCGGCGCTTTTATTGTCAAGATTATCGAGTAAAATAGTCCCAAAATTAAACTTGAAAATTAGTAAAAGTTATTTTTGGTCTGATTCGAATATTGTTTTATCATGGATTACTTCCCCCTCTACCAAATGGAAAACCTTTGTAGCCCATCGGGTTGGGGAAATTCAGGAACGAACTTCTATTGCGGATAGGTCACACGTCGACACCAAAGAAAATCCCGCTGATATCATTTTGCGTGGTTGTTGTCCGTCGAAATTAAGTTCATTATCATTATGGTGGTTTGGTCCTAAATAGTTAATTAAAAATGAAATAGAGTATCCTGTACAAAAGACGTCTTCGAATTCAACAAAATTAAAAATACCCGAAGCCCGAGAGATAACGATATCTAATGTATGTACAAACACTATAAATGATTCTTTTTCCTTAATTAATCATTATTCGTCTATAAACAAATTAATTCACGTAACCGCTTACTGTTTACGTTTTCGGTACAATGCATTAAACACAAATTCAAGGTTAACAGGAATGCTTAGCTTGGAAGAAATTAAATACGCGCGTATTGTTATAATACGATGTGTTCAAAAAAGATCATTCCATCATGAAATAAAAGATTTAATAAAATTGAAAAACGTAAGCTCGTCTAGTAAATTGTTTCGTCTGTTTCCATTTATAGATAACGACGGTTTGATAAAGGTTGGAGGTCGTTTGAAGAACGCCGCTTCGATAGACATTTATCAACGACACCCGATTGTCTTACCCGCAGATGATCATTTTACACGTTTATTATTTGAACACGAGCACGAAAGATGCATGCACGGGAGCCCACAAGCGACTTTATCTACGATACGATTACAATATTGGCCGTTAAATGGTAGAAATATAGCACGAAGTACAGTACATAAATGTGTGAAATGTTTTAAGTATAAACCGATTGTCGTACAACCAATTATGGGACAACTACCTGCAGATCGCGTAGAACCGTCTCGAGCGTTCCTAAATTGTGGAATTGATTTTGCTGGTCCATTTTTGATTAAATCTAGTTTACGTCGCAATGCTCTTTTAAGCAAAAGATATGTATGCATTTTTGTATGTTTTACAACCAAGGCGACTCATTTAGAATTGGTTAGTGATTTATCTACACAATCCTTCATTGCAGCGCTAAACCGTTTTTTTGACAGACGAGGTAAAAGTAGTGTGATATATTCCGATAATGCTACCAACTTTGCCGGGGCAAATAATAAATTAAAAGAATGGTACGATATATTTCAAGTCGAAAAACATAAATCAAAGTTGGATGAGTTCTTGATGAACAATGGTGTGCAGTGGAAATTTATACCCGCGCGCGTCCCGCATTTTGGTGGATTATGGGAAGCCGCTGTGAAATCTATGAAGAATATAGTACGCAAGACGTTAGGTGACACTCATTTAACATACGAAGAATTTAATACCATTCTCACGCGCGCCGAAGCATTTTTAAATTCCCGTCCTATTATACCTCTCTCTACTGGTCCTAATGACTCAGGAGTATTAACACCCGGTCATTTCCTAATAGGTGACTCTCTGCTAGCAATTCCCGAACCTGACATATCTGACGTCAAAACCAACAGATTGACGCGATGGCGTAGGTTAAGTCATTATTCTCAAATAATTTGTAAAAAATGGAGCCGTGAATATTTAAATCAACTGCAGGAGAGAAAAAGGTGGGCAGGTGAGAAGGGACCTAAGTTAGATGTGGGTACTGTAGTATTGGTTAAAGACGAAAACATTCCCCCCTTAAATTGGAAGCTGGGTCGTGTGACGAAGGTTTAACGAAGTCCCGACAACATCATTCGTTCAGCTGAGGTTAAATTGTTAAATGGTTGCATAACACGAGCAGTGCGTAATTTGTGCCCTCTTCCCTTTGATGGAAATATATCTAAATAATTAAATATTTATTATATTTTATGTAAATGTGTATTTATTATAATCAAGTATCGAAATTTATTATTACTAATCATTTATTCTAATTTATTTATATACCATTTTTTATTATATTACTGTTATATATTTATTGTAATTATCATTAGTTGAAAATAAATGTTTCAAGGCGGGCGGCATGTTACCTATAGATATCAATGTTCAGTATTGTCAAATTATATGATATGTGTATTATGTTATCGATTGTGTCCGCGTCGGTATCGTTATCGGCCTAACCGGTCTAGTGTACCGGCGGGCTTTTGATTTTATTGTATTCAGTCGGAAAAAGTATTTTAAATCGTAAAGGTGCCGACTCCGCACATGGAATAAAAAAGCTTTTTAACAAAATTCAAATTAAATATATTATTTCATAACGTAACAAAATCATTTATTTATTATACATCATACAGTCCATTAATATAAAATTTTATAACCGGTGTAATTTTAACCCAAACCAACAGGGAACTTGATTAATTTATGTAATTCTTTTGTCTGTATTATTTTCTCCGATTCTGGAATAAAATGGTTTTAAACGCCTAACATGGATGATGTCCTCAACTTCTTTGTCGTTTAAAATTAGTTTTATTTTGAAATTTAGGTCATTAATTTTTTCTATTATTTTATACGGTCCTCTATATTTGGGCCCTAATTTAGGAGATTTTCCTATGTCTAGGAATGGGAATCTTACCATTACTAGATCATTTACTTTGTAATTTATTGTTTTATGTATCTTATCGTGATATTTTTTTTGTGTCACCTGAGCTTCATGTATTTTTTGTGGTATTTTGTCCCTTATTTTATTTAGTTCCTTTAGTGATTCTTTTAGATTAAATGGGATGTCTGCGGGAATTATCTTATTGTCCAAGGGAAACTGTGGTTCAAAGCCATGCATGAGATAAAATGGGCTGTATTTAGTGACGGTTTGGGGTGTCGAATTGTATGCAAGTGTAACATGCAGTAAGAAATATGACCATTTACTTTGATTATTTCCTAATAAATAATTTTTTAATGAACCAGTTATATTTCCGTTAATTTTTTCGACTAGGCCCTGCGTTTGTGGCGAATAGCTTGTGGACAATGTTTGTTTTATTCCCAAACTTTTTCAGATGTCAGTGACTAATTTATTTCTAAAATGAGTACCTCTGTCAGAAGAAAAGTTTCTGAAACATCCCCATTGTGTAATTATTTCTATTATGAATTTTACAGTTGTTTCTGCCGTGGCCGATTCAACTGCTTTTGTAAAAATGTATTTAGTGGTGTTACATGCTGCCACTAGAATGTATCTTTTTTTATTACTGGAAGGTAGGGGTCCTAGATAGTCAAATGTTATTCTATCTAGTGGTTTACCTGTGATTATTGGTATAGGATGTAATAGGCCTACAGGTTTGCCGCTCATTTTTTTATTTATTTGACATTCCTCACATGATTTTATGAAATCGGTTGTGTCTTTATTTAACGTTGGCCAATAGTATTTATTTTGAATTTTATGAATAGTACGTGATATACCTGCCAGTGGCGGTTTTGGGGGTGAGGCAAGTGAGGCGCCGCCTAACCTACAATTTTAAGTAAAAAATACTATTAAAGTATATATTTTGGCCCACCGATAGCATATAAATATTTCGATATTAATTTTTAACGTTTTTATGATTTTATTTGAGAAAAAATCTTCTTTGCCAAATTTAATTATTATATTGTAAAATAATGGTAAATCATATCATTAGTGTTTATTACCAAAAATAGTGATAAACCGATAAGAAATGAATGAAAATATAAGTATTACGTAAACAAACGCTGGTGTTTCAACCGGCGGCAATGTTCCGATGACGTCAGAAGGCACCGTTCATCTCCGCCTCAGAGTATGTACTATTGTGTACATGAATTACACACACAAGTGTATGTACGCGAATGCACGCGACTATAAAATAACTAGAGTTGCGCATGCGTAATGATCATTGTGAGGCTCGACTTACATCGCCTATGAAATAAAAATAGACTCGGTATACAGGAATATATAGTCAGCCGGCATTTCAACGTAAAAAACACATTATCAGTAAAGATGTTATTGTTACAATCGAGATTCGGGACAGTCCTAATTAAACCGTTGTCCGTTGTAATATCTATTGATAATAATTTTATATTTATCATTATTTATTCATTAGTCATTTCTGTCTTGACGTCTTGTACGAATATTCGCTTGTGTCTTACACTTTTTCCGTTTTCGGTGGTTTCGTCTTAACGTCTACGTTAAAATATATGTGCGAGTGCTGATGTTTATTGTAATAAACATTA